GGGCACAAAGAAATACTTTTCTTTCTTTTTCTCATTTAAAATGTCTCGCTTTTAATAAATAATTATCTGAATCTTACAACCAAAGTTTTTATATGACGTAAAATGTATAGAAATTATACATATACCAACAAGACTGTACATCACTGTCACAACAGCGTTTTAATACCTGGTGGGCCGGTCTCTAGTCAAAATGCCCGGGCTGATTTTTTGTCCAGCCCTGTCTGAAGTACAAACCTCCCCTTTAAAAAACTCCCAACGGGCCATCAAATAGTCAATAAGTTATTGTACACCTCGTTGTTTTGGCACACCTGTTAATTAAAGCAGTTAATCATCATTGAAAGTACTGTTGATAGCAAAAAGTTGATAGTACAGTTGATATAAAGTGGGAAACTATTCATACAGGTCAAAAATGTTCTTTGTAACAGGCTGTAAACTTGCTATTTGATACAGTTTAATTGGGTGTTTTAGTCTGTTGGGACTGACTCAAGTCAAATGCCAGAAACTGCAGATTTTGACAGTTGGTTTTATTTTTAAGCTCTGGAAGTTGCCATTGGATACAATGGCAGTCCTTTAGGGAGTACCGCTTCTGTGGCAAGCTTTTGTAACCCTAAAGGTACAATAAGGTGCTTTTATTTCTGAGTGTAGCAAGAATTTGGGGCAATTACACCTGCATGAATGAGAGTAGGTGTCACTTTATTTAGTCTTGCAGACAACTTGCTTGCACAGAAATATCTCATTAAAGTTTGCTGTCAGGCTGCAGTTCTGCTGTTTGTGTTGTGGTGCTTTGAACAATGAAATTTCCTCTCTGTGTGATGACAACATTGCCTGTGCGGCTTCATAAGGCCTCTAAAAACTGCTTGCTAACTTCCTTCTTGCTCACATGGTTTCCTGGCAATCTGCCATGCCCCCCTCCCCTCTCTCATCCTCCCCTCCCTGGGCCCATAAGGCCGTTGTGCTGCCTGTCCCGTGTGAGACAGGAAGCAAGGCCCTATGGACAGTGACCTCACCGCAGGAAGAAAGTAGAGGGTGTGCGTACTGTATGCGGTAGTGCAGGATTGTAGGTTGTGCTGCCGCAGTCACTACACGAACAGAACAAAGACACAAATTTGTATATTTTCAGAGGAAAATTTTAATGTGTACATGTCCAGCATGGCTTGTTAACACACTCTACTAGAGGTGAACACACAACACAAATGTATAAAATCTTACATTTTCTAAAGAAAATAAAAACACAACCAAACCCCCCAAAATTAAAATAATCGGAATGTTATTAACAGAAACAAATCAAGTTCGGAGAGAAAAATATGCACAAATCAAATCAAAATAAGACAAATGATCAAAGACAAACAGAGGTTTTTTTTTTTCATCTAGTCCCACACAGGGTTTTTTTTCTGTTTGTTTTTTTTTTCAGAAAATCACTGAAACATTACTCCGGCAGTAATGAAGAGAGATGCTGTGAGATGCCATGGTTCGTTATCGATGGTCAGCACAGAAGTGACTGAATCCTTCAAAATATACTCTTCTCTACAGTAGCTGCAGTTAGTGGATGGAAACAGTTTTCCTAAGTTACTCAACAGTTTCAGTGTCTGTTTGAAGCACGACGAGAGCTGATCCGCTGCAGACGGATGCTGAAAGTCATTTGTCAGGTGCTGCTTTTGTTTCATTCCCGAGCTGAGCGGCCGGGTTTGCCGAGTGGTGATTTCAGATGAGTGGTTTCAGAGTGGATGGGCTCAGAGAGCAAGCTGAGATGCACTCTGGGAAAAGAGAGAAGCATCTGGACATCCCACAATCCCCTTGGCTCGAGTCATTGTAAGCCACAAAGTTAACCCAAGACAAACTGAAACAGGAAAACAGTCTGTCAAGTCCAACAGATTTTGTTTTAATCTTTTTTAGTTTGTTATTTATTAATCTGTTTTTCCTCCTAGAGTTTGGGTTTTGCACAGGGCTGATGCAACGACTTTTTGAAGCTTGCAGTGATTAGGCAGTGCAGAGATACACTGTGACGGTGGGAAGCTGCAAGCTAAAAAGCACACTGTGTGGAGAGAGAAGACACGGCTACAATACAACCTGGCTTCAGACCGACTGTGGAGATTTTAACAGATGTTCATTAAAAAGAACAAAACATCAGGGTTGAATGAGAAATGCTTAACGTGCAGTCTTTACAGAAACACATCCTGAGAGAGATGAAAGCTCACACTGAGATCAGCATATCCTAACCTTACCTAAAACTTGCATTAAGGCTATGCACTTCAAAATGAACTTCAGCTTTTGCAAGCTTTGAATCTGAACGTGACATCAACGAAAATCAAAGCAAATCGTGTTAAAAGTTGCTGAACGAGGAGGTGGATCTACCAGCAAGCGTTGCTGTGTGTGACAATAATGTGTTAGTGTGTATGTAGAGAGACAGAAAAATAGGGGGAGGACAAAGAGAGTGAGAGAGAAGGCCATTGTTTTTATTATGATCCCCTCGGGCTTTGAGGGCTGGGCCGAGCGTGGAGAGACGTGGAGTGTGGGAGATTTACAGTCAGAACACAGGCCTAGCTTATAGAGAGGAGGGCTGATTAACTCAACACCTCTACATGCACACAAACAGGCATCAATCAGCCCTGACAGATCTCCTTCCTAACCCTTCAATACTTCTCCTCTGCTTGGTGTCCTGAGACAAATAAACTGTATTAAACCCGCCGGTGTCCCCTCACAGAAAATCGCTCAAACTGCTGAATCACCAAAACTGTGTTTCTGCGTGACGCAAACTCAGGTGCACTGGACCTCTCTTTCAGACTTTTTAAGTGGTTACTTTAGCTTTGAAGTGGTTAACTCCCTGTGGGCTCTTTGTTTGGAGGTTATAGAGGAGAATAGGAGGCTTAATAAAGAAGAACTCCATAAACAACTGGGTGTCTCACGCAATGAGTAGGCACTTTCTGAGCCTGTCCAGACGCTGGGCTGTCTGAACGCTCATTGATGTGCCTGAAGGACCAAATGGAAGAGCAGGACAGTAGAGGAGAGGGGGAGGGAGTGCTTTTAAAGCTGATTAGCTGCGTCCGCCAACCCCTCCTTCCCCACAAAAGCTTCACGATGAGGAGATGAGGGATGGACACGGGACACCGTTTCCTGGCAACTGCTATCGACCTGCCTCAGATCAATCTCCAGACTTCTGGTGACGGCTGAGTTTGCTCTTCCTTTTCCTCCTTTCAGTATGGGTATCCTGTTAACTTCAGGTCTGACTACTTAGGTGTCTCACTTTGCCCTATCTTCTCTTAGTGGGAGGCCTAGCAGAACAGCAGTATCAGGTTAGGCCAATGCACTTACACTTTTATCCATGGACAGAGTGCTGGTGCCCAGTTTAGAAGTTTAATGTATTTCAGCCAAAAAATGACAAGAACTGCAAAAAGCTGGCACCAAACATTGTTTTGGATATGACAATGTTCTACAGAAAAATTCTCCCATGACTGTCTGACATAATATCCGCAACACAGAAATGACCCCAACTACTATTCAACATCTTTTATAATATTTGATTCTTCACCTGTGGAAATGTGACTTTATTAAAAGGCACCGAGGCAGAAATGGCTTTGCACCTGCACTGACATGAGCACTGGATCCATGGAAAATAAGTATGAATGCTGCCAATAAGGAGGCTCTAAAGCATGCATGTGCTTATCCAAAACTACAAGCTTTCTTAAACGAGGCCCGTCACCTACTGTAAGCGAAAGTTTCCTCTTTGGCCAGCACTGCTGCTGAACTTGCAAGGGAATCTGGGTCACATGGGCTGTTGCCAACTCTCTCTCCCTCTTCTCTTTGTCTCCTCCTTCTTCCCACCCTTCCTTATTCCTGAGATCTAAACTTTGCAAGCTCAGGGAGCCGAGGTCAGGCGCGTTCCCTCAGTCCTCCTCCCCCCTTTCCTTTTCTCAGCTGCAAGAAATTCAGACTCTCGATACCCTCCCCGTTTGTGTAACCTGAGCTGTGTGAGCTGAGCCAACCCCCCACCCCCCCAGGTCAGAGTGGCAGCTTAGCTCTAAATGCTACCTCAGATAAACCTTCCTCCAATTTATGTCTGAAATCAAACCTCTAAACACTTTCACTCACACACTCATTTTATGCCTTATCTTCAGGCATAAACTCATCACGATGAGATAAATCGCTGCCATTAAGAAAAATGTTGACTTTAAAAGGTCACCACACTTGGTTTTAGCCTTTCGTGACTCTTTATCAGCGTAGCAACCGTTTTACACCAATTTTCCAATGTGTGTCTGAATGCACTGACAAAGACTGAGAACTCTGCGTAATAAAGAGGCAATTTTCTGTGCATGCCTTCTCGAGAGATGAAACGAAAGCCGACTGTTTTGACTCGGTAAGGTCAAAGTTTAGTTTAGAGGTTAACGGCATTTGCGCACACCTGCTGTTATTTGATGAGGAGGATTAGTCTGTGTTCACATAAGCCCTCATGGCCTGAGCCCACCCTGGTGCTTACAGTAAGACTGCATATCATCCCAGAAGTTTCTTTAAAAAACACTAGCAGTAAAAGATGCATGATAGACGAGCTGCACTCCGTGAATGCTTTGTTTCCCCCTTTTATATCTCTCGCACACCCAGATGCTCTCCCTCCTGTGTTATTTCACAGTGAGCTGACTTTGTTCATTAACTATTAGTCCATCTCCTTCACGGCACAAAGGACGGGTCTCATTTTTGACATAAAAGAGGATCTCTGAGAATTAGCCCCACAGTTGAGAACTAAAGGAAGAGGTCCCCTTTATAGTCTATTTATCCTTTCAGCCAGAGAGGTCTTTAACAAGACAAGCTTCCAAATAAGGGAAAGAAAGAAGGCAGACCTACTGTCCATCAGTGTGAACACAAGATATGGAAGGCATTAGTCATCTGACCTTAAAGGGTTAATTTATTCGCAGTGCCAATGTTTCTATCTGTTATGTTGTATATATGTAATCATAAAAGTATACGGGCTGATATCAAAATGACTACACGATGGCCTGAAACCTCAGTGAGACAATCACAGAGAACGTGACAGTAACATAAAACACTGTGGAAGTTAATATTCTGTTTATCTTATCTTAATTTACGGACAGAAAACCAACTGACCGCTCTCTCTGTTGATTATAGAATCATGTGACTGTGTTGCTGGTTAATTCTGTCTACTGGCATAAAAACACGAGTGAGGTTGAAAAGCTTAAAAGCTTTTATAGCTGCCGGACTGGAAAACTAAATCTTTTCCAGAGACAAAAGTGGATACAGACATAGAGTAACACTGCGTGTCTGCAGAGTGCATCGATTTGTTTGTCAATGAAGTTAAATAGCCAATTGTCAGTCTTAGGCTACTGTATCATATACCTAGAAAAATGTCTTTTTTCACTACTTTGCATTGTCTAAATAAATAATATGTTCAGGAAGGTTACAAGAAATTAAAAGTACGTAATAGCCGCGCAGCTCTGGCTTTATTATCTTGTTTGTTTAAACCCTGTTTGACTGATATACACGTAACCTTCTCAGATCTCACAGTGAATACAGAGTTATTATTAACATAAATAGGAGAGACTGCAACAATAAGATTTAATGATTTAAAAACAAACCTGCCCTCCTCTGACTAACAATCTGAACTCTGAATTAACCTTCAGACTTACAATCACACCCTAATCACCATCAAGAAGAGTCAAAGAAAATAATATCTGAGCTCGTTGCAGGTCCCAAAACACCTCTTCACAGATTCGCCTGCAGAGAAAAGGAAAGATAAGAAACACGGAGCTGACGAGAGGAAGGAAAGAACCCTTCTGGACCCCGCTTGAAGCACTGTGGTCTGTCTACAAATCGTTTTAATGCTTTGAATTTCTTCCTTTTGTGGCAACTGAGATAGCATAAGCTGATGTCGGGTTATCGGCGAGGAAAAAGCCCCTACGGCGATAAGGGGAAGGAGGAGGGCGGAGCGGAGATGTGAGAGAGAATAGACCGGCCTTCCTGGTTTAGAAGTAATAATAACAACAACAACAAAAAAGTCACATAAAATGAACCAAAACAAAAAGAACAAAACTATGTGCAAACTTCTCTCATATAAATAGACTACAGTCACTGCATTGTAGAGCACCATGGGAGACAGGAGGAGGTTAGAGAGGTGTGTGTGTGTCTGTGTGTGTTTGAGAATGTAAGACATAAGTTACGCTCGCGTCTAGTTTGTGTGTGCCTATGTATCATTACAGTATTTGCATGGATCTACTACCACAGAGCTGCAGGAGCCACTGAGCACAGAGACTGGAGACAGATGGATCACTGGGAAGAGGGCTAGATTAGAGGAGGAGGGCGCATCTAAGGTTTAAATCAAGTTCAGCGTTCAAAGACCTAACATCGGGGGTCAGACCCAGTCCTGAAGCGAGCGTTTGCAGTGCACCAGCAGGCGCGGCGCCCCTTTGCTCTGCAGCGTGTTGATGATGGCATAGATCAGTCCCAGGATGCACAGCACCAGGACCAGTGGGATGGTTACCATCAGGATGCTCATGGTCCGCTCCTGGCTGTCGTCCACCTTCAGTACCACATCCACCTCGTTGGTCTTCTCCTCACGTCCCTCGCGAGAGTCTTGATCTTTGTCGCCGTCTGAGCCTTTGTCTTTGTCTGTTCCTCCGCGATCTGCTCCGTCCCGGTCTTTGCCCTTGTCGCCGTCACGTCCTGCGTCGGGGTTAAATGGCGGGCGGCTTACATCTGGGTATTTGCGGCCCGAGTCCGTGTCCGTGTCTCTGTCGGGATCCAGGTCCACGCTGCAGCCCATGAAATCTCTCAGGATGGATTTTGGATAGCCCGGTTCGCTTTTCATACGGTGGTTGTCAAACTTCCAGTACTTGGAACCCTTATAGAAGTAGGTGTATGCTGAAATATAAATGAAGAAAACATGAGCCCACAAAGAATGTTAACGCATGACTAAAAGAATAATTAGAGTTTTTGGGAGATCGTTAAAGAGTTACCAGATAACTGACAGCTGCACAGATTAAACAAGATATTTGTACTTAGAGAGAATAACAGCCTGTATTTGTTCCCCATTAGAGAGAAGTAGGTGGTTTCTCCATAATTTGAAGGTTTATACTGAGCTACGCTAACATGATCATTTAAAAAAAAATTATATTGAGCCTCTTGTCTTACCTTTGGCATAAAATAGGATTAATATATTTATCAAAAAGTCAAACTGTTGCTTTAATAACTTCAATATTTTACTCTAAATTCTCTCTGTGTTCAGTTGAGGCAATTAAAATTACTCAAGTGGCTATTGTCAGTCCAATAATTGCTTATTTCTAACATATCTGCAAAGAAAAAGAACTCCCCACCCAGAATGTTCAATAAATCCAATCATAGCGAAACTCAAAATCACCTTTTTTGGATTATTATAGTATTAAAATCAATAAAACGAACAAGCTGAGGGACTTCAATGAGGCAATCAGGTGAAGAATCCCTGTTTGCACTCTCTTAATCAACAAAGAGGTGGAAGTACAAACTGTGTGCTATAAAAGTATGCAGTTTTGCTCTAGTTTTCATCTATTATTTATGAATTGATGTTGCTTTTGAACACCATTCAACTGAAGAACAGCCACTAAAGACAACACGTTTTATGAAATCAGTGATTTCATAAACGATCTCAACAAGAGTGTGCACAACAACTCTTAACCCTTTAAGACCTACCATAGAACCAAGTCCGCCAGAGCTTATATTATATTTTTACATGTTGTAGTGTCATTTTTGGGAGCATTTCAAGTTGATATACATCAATACAACCATTACAGTCTAAATTTTAATAATATGTCTGCATTAAGTGCATAGTAATTACATAAATTGCAAA